TTTGCAATAGATTTTTGTAAAAATTAGAGATTTTTCTTTTTTATCAAAAATATTTTGAGCATTAAGTAAAGCTCATGCTAAAGTTTCCTACTGTAAATCTATAAAACATAATTTTTGATAAGTAATACGGATCGTTAATTTGGAAAACTTTAAGGTCAGTGTGTCAGTATATCTGTCAGGTCAGTTTATTTTTGGAACCCTCATATAATAGCCAAATATTGTCCCATCATCCTATCAAATCATAGATCAATGAAAGGCTTAAATATTTATTCAAACTGTCACTATTTGTCAATTTAATAAAATCAATGAAACAATCAATTATTACTATCAAAATAGAAAATAAACATCAGTGTATACAAAAATAAATTTGACTGAACAAATTCTTACCTTTCTTGTTTTCATTGAGATCGAGGGGTTTCAAACCAAGTTTGGCTCTCAGCTTACTGCAAAGCAATGAGTAATGGCATTCAGCAACGTACATTTGCATATACATGTACAAGTATTGCATTGGAACTTTCATTATAAAAATACCCAACTAATACATACTTGGTCTCTTCAATGCTGAGTGAAGCATCACCACTTGCAGATTTAGGACCTGGCTCTGCAAGACAAAACGCTGACATCAGTATCACTCAATGCAAACACATCTATCAAAGAATTAAAGGGATAGTTCACCTAAATATTATAATATACTCAAGTTATTCCAAACCTTTAGGAGTTTCTTTTATTTCTGTTGGAACTCAAAAGCAGATATTTTAAAGAACGTTAGAAACCATTAAAAGTGACCACCATAGTAGGAAAAACAGGTGAGGCAGTGGCACAGTAGGTAGTGCTGTCGCCTAAATGCAAGAAGGTCGCTGGTTCGAGCCTCGGCTGGGTCAGTTGGCATTTCTGTGTGAAGTTTGCATGTTCTCCCTGCACTTGCGTGGGTTTCCTCTGGGTGCTCCAGTTTACCCCATAGTCCAAAGACATGCAGTACAGGTGACTTGGGTAGGCTAAATTGTCCATAGTATATGTGTGTGAATAAGTGTGTGGATGTTTTCCAGAGATGGGTTGCGGCTGGAAGAGCATCCGCTGTGTAAAAATGTGCTGGATAAGTTGGCGGTTCATTTCGCTGTGGCGACCCTGGATTAATAAAGGGACTAAGCCGAAAAGAAAATGAATGAAGCTGGAAAAACAAATGCTATGGAAGTCAATAACTGCTGGTTTCCAACTTTTTTCCAAAATATCTCAAGTTGTGTTTAACAAAACATAAAGAAACTCTTTTGTAAAAAGTAAATTTTTATAGTTTATTCATATTTTTCTTACTATGAACTCAACCGTTAGTTTATTCCTTTCTTCAAAATATATTGTTTGTGTTTAATTGAAGAAAGAAACTCATAAAGGTTTGTATTGTATCTACTTGAGGGTGAGCAAACTCATAGAGGTAAAGTTGGTTTTATATCCGCACATTCGTTCGTTTGGAAGTCCCTATATTGTTTACTATGTTACTTTAAATATTCAATCGGAATTAGCATGCAAGTATGACTTCTAAACAACATTAACACTATCGAATTCACTGTGAACAATATTGTACTTTGATGGTAATTTGCTGCTAATATGATTTCCCTATTTAGAATTTGCAAAGAATACTTTTATGAAATTACATTATTAAGGAGAAAGTCTAAATATCCGAATATAAAACCAACTTTACCTCTAGAGTAAACTCTTTATATTTGCATGAACCATCTCTTTTATGTTTCTTTAAAAATGGCCTATGAATGTAATACAGCATATTACTTTTCCAAGTAACTTTAGCCAACACTGACAATAACTATAGTCTTCAGTAAAGTGTTATATGAGATAGTATGCTGGAGAAACAAAAATGGTGTCATTTTAATGTTTATTTTGCTCAAATTAAATCAGCACCGTTTTACAGGTAGTTTGTCACTGGCTGGACAGGAAGACCAGGACTTTCTCCTTCATAACAATTTCAGAAAAGTATTCTTTACAAATTCTAAATAGGGAAATTACATTAGTAGTCAATGACTATCAAAGTACAACATTGTTCACAGTCATTTAAATAGTGCTAATGTTTGAAGTCATGCTCGCATGCCATTTAAGAGCGAATATTTAAAGTACAATATAGGCACTGTGTCACAAATAAACGAATGTGCGAATATAAAAACAGCTAACGTTAAACTGAATTAGGAAGACTGACCGCTGTTGTCCTCGAAAGCAGGATCAAGCTTCTCCTTCTTGACTCTGGGCTCCGCGCTGCTCTTCTCGGATTTGCCGCTTCGGTCTTTCTCCGCTCCCCGGCTACTCCTCTCCCTGGAGCGGGACCTCTTTCTCTTCTCTCGGTCCCTGTCCTTCTCCTTATCTCGGTCCTTGTGTTTGTGCTTCTTGTGCTCACGGTGCCGCTCCTCGGGATCCCGGTCCTTCTCCTTTTCCTTGTGTTTCTTTGATGATCCCATGTTGGGTCTGTTTGCGGATTAAATGCTGTTTGTCTAACGTTAAAGCACTTCTGTTTATAATAACTCGACGAACAGGTTAACGTTTACAGAATATTGACTGTACGATTACATCATAGTATTGGGTACAACTTATATTATTTCATTATTTCGTATGTAGTTGAGCAGCAAAATGTAAACACTAACGTTAAGCCAAAGCGACTTGCTCTACTGCAACAACACGATCGTATGATGAACGCGGTGCTGTTCTGATAACGTCCGGGTTAAATGGCATAATGGATTTGCAGCACCACCTAATGGTATGGAGGTTTTGACTTGTGTTCGTAAATATTTTAATTTAGTAAAATAATGAATGCTCTCTCTGAGTTACAGAAGAAGTAAGAAAATGTAGTTTTGTAGTTGTAGTTTATGAATTTCTCCTATGAAACTATTAGGTTGTATAAGTAACCATGTTTTGGCACATATTGGTTGAATACAGTTTAACTGCAATCACCATGAGTAAGCAAATGTGGCAAAACTCTGTTTGATTGGTGATTACTGTGGTTTAATAGCCATGTTTGTTCATTTATTTTTAGTAATGGTTAATTTCTGCAAGACTACTAGAAGCGTGAGATTTAGACCTACAAATCAGGCTTTAGTTGATTAAAACAATCAGATTTTGGAAATGTCTCAGGTTCATGCATCTAACAATAAATGAGCAATTTATAAATAATATCATTTTTATTTTTATTACAAATATTTGGTTTTAAAAGCAGGCCTATAGCCAGGGGGGGTTTGGATGATTCAAAAGACCCATGCACGTCCCTACTGACAAAGTCCAGAATTTCGCTGCTATAGGAGCTCATTTGTCCCAGGTTTCCATCATAAATTGTGAAAATAACCAATAGAAGAAGACTTTAAGACAAACTGAATTTTGAATTATTCAAATGGACAAATTCCGACTGAGGATATGAGCTGGCGGGCAGCACGGTGGCGCAGTGCGTAGCACAATTGCCTCACAGCAAGAAGGTTGCTGGTTCGAGACCTGGCTGGGTCAGTTGGCGTTTCTGTGTGGAGTTTGCATGTTCTCCCCTTGTTCATGTGGGTTTCCTCCAGGTGCTCTGGTTTCCCCCACAGTCCAAAGACATGCTGTACAAGTGAACTGAATAAGTTAAATTGACCATAGTGTATGTGAGTGTGTGCAAGAGTGTATGGGTGTTTCCCAGTACTAGGTTGCAGCTGGAAGGGCATCCACTGTGTAAAACATGTGCTAGATAAGTTGCCGGTTTATTGCACTATATGGCGACCCCTGATTAATATAGAGACTAAGCTTAAAAGAAAATGAATGAATAAATAAATGATATGAGCTGGAAAAGTTTGTTTGTTTTTTGCCTATAATCTACTGTTTCTGATTTAAAACAAGTTTTAAACAGATTCCTAATTGTTTTAGTTTTTTTAAATGATGGATGATAATACATTTGAATTTTAAAATGTTTTCAAGTTTCTTTGTTCCAATCTCATTACATTATTTTTGAAACTGTAATAACCAGTTTAAATGCACATTTGTAAATAAACACTTTATTATGTAATTATAATGTAATTACTTATTTAAAAAGTCCCTATCAACAAAAAAGTAGTTCAGAAATAAATGTATTTTTTTCACACCAATGTATTTATTTATTTATTTTTTATTACAAATAATTGCATGTGGCCTCGTGGAATAGTAAAGTATGTAAGAAATAGCAGGGAATGTAATATTGCATGTGCCATAAACAAAATCTCCAATGTTAAAATTGGTAACTTTTTACAATTTTTAACTGTTTTCTCATCGTGAACCGAGGTAGTAAACACAGTTGCAATTTGTATGTAGCAAACATCAAATAGGTTATTGTTGTTAGTATAATAAGGATTATACAGACACATTATAAATATATATAAAATTGTGCCAATTGTTTGCATTGATTAAAAAAGAAATCAGGGCACCACGGTCGCCTCACAGCAAGAAGGTTGCTGGTTTGAGTCCAGGTGTCCTGATATTTTATCCTACTCATCAGATTATGCTACCAACACTTTACTTCGAATGGTTCTGAGTTTGGGGTTAGGGATTAGCTAGGGTACGGCAATATTACAGCTTCATATCACACTCCACATTAAAACTTTCACTGGTAGCAAAATCTGATGGGAAGCATGTTGCAACAAAATGTGCTACCTACTTTTTGAATGGGAGGTAGAACAATCTGATAAGGTATAAAAAAAATCGTCAGAATACCGACTGGGTCAGTTGTCATTTCAGTGTGGAGTTTGCATGCTCTTTCCGTGTTTGCGTGGGTTTCCTCAGTTTTCCCCTACAGCCCAAAGACATGCGCTATAGGTGAATTGAGTATACTAAATTTGCCGTAGTGTATGAATGTGTGTGAATTAGTGGATATCCTGGATAATTTGGTAGTTAATTTTGCTGTGGTGACCCCTGATGAATAAAGGACCAAGCCGAAGGAAAATGAATGAATGAATGAACGAATGAATGAATGAATGAATGAACGAATGAATGAATAAAAAAAGAAATTAGTGGAGGTTATCGACAATAACAGCTTTTATTCCAATATCTGACTGTACATAAATAAATTACAAATATATATGATTCATTTGGCATGATTACAGACATATATTGGAGAATGAAGATCACATTTTAATCAAACATGAAAATGAACATTCCACTAGTCATTTTAAACATACAGTACCATACACTGACAGAGTCATTCAAGGAAAATGCAGCTTATAATAAGTAAAAAAAACATGATCAACATTTGATGTCATAAAATTGCTCTTAACAATTAAATTTCATAAAACAGATAAATGTATAAAGATATAAAAAATAAAATAATTAAATAAATTCTAGCGATCAAACAAATCATGCATTGTTCATTATTGATTTCCATTATTCCCCATTATTGTTTTATTGTTGCAATTCAGATTATGCCATCAACAACACCAGGCTATAAATAGGCCCACAAGGCCTAAACCAGATGATAATGCCAATAGGGTTTTCAGGCATCCGTTTTTTTCAGAGAAACACCTGAAAAACATATCTCCAGCTTTTTGGCAGTTCTTTCACAACAGTAAAAAGAGAACATACGTGCCAATGAAATGGAACAGTAAATGCATATAGATCCCAAGTATGCAAATAATATGTCTAATAAAAATAAACACAACAAACTTAATAATAACGTTTTGTTAAACATCAACCAGTAACATAGCTTTTAAATACAATGTGGAATTATGTTAATGACATATTGTATCACTCCATTAGTGTTTGGATTACAAACCTTTACATGTACAAAAAAAGCTCTGGTTTACTATACATTCATCCGTGAGCATATTGTCATTGAACAAATGCTGTTCCACCAACAACAGACTTGTGTGAAGTTACCAATGTTATAAACATCATGATTACTTTAAGCTTGCCATTCTAATTTGATCTTATTAAAATGACGACTGCACACACAGCCCTGAGCACATCACAAATAAAACTGGGCCTTTTATGCAAATGAACATGCCCAATTGGCATGAAAATACCTTGTGGTAAAAATTAAAATAACATTGAACTCCATGTCCCCTCAGTATCATTTACCTTCATTTGAATTCTTGAACAAGCAGCCATGCTTCACGCTAGCACTCATGAGGGGGAACCTGGAGTTCCTTCCAAAGCGTTAACATTTCTTTTGGCGTGCGTCTATGCACGAGGAGAACATTATGATATGCACACGGCTTATCTCGCACATCCTCCGGAAGGTCAAAGGTGAGGAAACCTGAATGATGAGTGGGGGGAACCCCAAGTCTATGAAGGCACATTCCCAGGAAAACATCATCAATAGGAAACAAGCTGACCCAACGAGAAACCTCCTGCAGACGCATGGCCAAAGCACCACTATAAACCACACCTCCACCTCCTGGGTATGTCGGATATGTTCCCTTATAGAAACTTTCAGGTATGTAATATTTAGTATTGGGCTGCCTATTAGGCCAGGCATTAGCAATAACATCACCCACAACAAAATCAACCAGGCCTTTTGTTTTATTTCCACGTGTCTTTTCTACTCTAATCTGGTCTAGGTAATCCAGCAGAGCCTTAGTCCTAACAAAAACATCATCATCTCCTTTGAAAATGAAGTGAACCTGAGGACAGTGCTTTGAAAGCCAGTTCCAAAAGAGGACATCCTTCAGGGTAAGGTTAAAGAACGAGTCTTTGAAATCCCAGAGGAGGATGTCCTTGTGGGTGCTGCTCTCTAACTTCAACAGGGCATTTAAATCAGGATGAGGCCCTGTCTCAGTGTCCTGCCTTGCAAGCAGGAAGACGGTGCGTACAAGCCACCCTCGTCCTCCACCACCCTCTTGAATAGGACCACTCTTCCCCCACGTCTCTCGGATGGCTTGCCTGTTTTCAAAGTTCCCTATTTGTGACTTAATCGCCATCAGAAGAAATGGTGTTTCAGAATCCTGTCCTGCACACAGGTCAGGTTGGTCCACAAGGATAGCATAATGCCTGCAGTGCATGGACAGGACAAAATCCTTCATTTGATTAGGAAGGGTATTAAAGTCAGGTAGGTGAGATGCCCAAGCCTTGTCTTGTTCACAGGCATGGGATTTTATCATCTCCAGGGGTTGGTCTGAATCAAGACTTTGACTTGTGGACCTTGTGGTGTTTCCTCTCAAAATGGGGTTGTGTTCCCTATCCCAAATGTGCTGGAGGCGGTTCCATAGTGCCCCATCCTCTAGTCTGAGATTCCAGAAGGGGCGGACCGGATGGGATGCAAGAGCCCCTGAGTTTGCAGAGGCTCCGGTGGCAATGAAATGAAGGGGCAGCTGTGGTACAGGAGGGGAGTAGGAGACAGCTACAAATACAGACACCATGATGTACACCAACAGGTGACTTACCATCACACAAGGCAAGAGACACAGACATAGCAGCTTTCCATTGCACCTGGAACGTGCCATGGACTAGAAGAGAATCAAAGACATTGAGGAGAATAGTAAATTATTATAAGTAAATTAATTTTAAGAAGTACCATACATTTCTCAGAAATGTCAGAAATGACAAGCTGTTTTTGTTAAAGTGAAATACTGTGACTTCTGCCACTAGGAGTAAATCTCTGAAGAAGTCAGTCTCCATGGTTTTGCCTCTTGAGACTCGTTATGTGAGCCTGACTGGGTAACGTCTACAGCATCCTACCACCCATGATATTTACATCATGTACTTTAAGACCACAACATTTACTCTGCTTATGGAAACACCTTATTTATAGCACAATTTCATCTATTTTCCATCGGACAAACAAAGTACACTAATCTGGAAAGGAGGAAATATTCAGTTTTTAGGAAAAAATATTTTCCACAGAGAGAACTATTTTCTAGAATTCAAGATTACATAATTTTTCAGACATACCACCAGCTATAACTCAGATATGAATTGAATGCACTTATTGGATACATATTAAATAATAAACAAGATAAAGTAAATTTTTTAAAATCACACTCATTTTTTAAGTGACGTGTAAAGTATACTGTAAAATGACTTTAAGATAATCTTATGTTATAAATTATTCTGTAGAGAAATTGTTTACAATACCTTCAGATTAGAGGTTCAGCTTCTCTGATTTGAACAAATTCCTGTTGCTTATCTGGAATTTTCTTTCCACATAGTTCCTTTCTTCACAAGTCCAAACAGGTCCCTGGTGTTGTTTCATGATGGTTGCGGTGCTTTCCAGAAATGTGTAAGTATTAATTTCTCAATTTCTTGCATCATGTTCTGGTTCGGTCAGTGAAGTGTTGATATTAAACCATAGAGTAGATTGCCTCTCAACTTCATCACAGGTGCAGATACTAAATGGGAATATTTGCATGCCACATGTGATTTGAAGAAGCACATAAGCCCCACCTACCTACATTACACATCAAGCCCTTTTGCATAATCTCTGTTTTACACCCACAAGCCTCCTTATATTTGTATAAAACGCAAATTGAGATTATATATCAGTTTCAACTGCACTGTTGTTTCTATACTTACAAGTGTTGCTGGGGAACATCTCTAGAGATTCAGTGAAACATGCTTTGAATCACAAAAAGTGAATCACATTTACAGTCTTTCTGATTCTCAGACTTACTGATATTTCGATCCAGGGAGGCAGGCATGGAGTTCTATAATATGCTGATAAGGTTCTGGGTTCAAATTCCAGATAAGCTCATAGATTTTGTTATGAACTTTGGAATAACTCAAATCAGAAACTGGGGGCTCATCAAGGATTTGAATCTTATTTTAACCTGAATGGCATTTCAGTCCTGAAATGCCAATCAGCCAATACAATTTGAGCTAGCATCAGCTACATGTTAGCTAGCACTGCTGGGCAACATTCTTGATGACCCCAGAGGGATTTAGTGAGACATGTTTGAATCACAAAAAGGGAATCACATTTACAGTTTTTCTGATTCTCAGACTTACTGATATTTCGATCCAGGGAGGCAGGCTAGGGTGATGTATTCCTCAAGAAAAATAAGCATCTGTACTTTGTTGTTATCTTTTTGTTGTAGAGACTGATTTGGGTAAGCCCCCAATTTCTGTTATTGAAAATACCAGCTAACATGTAGCTCATGCTAACTAAAAGAATTATTGCCATGGCATGGACTGCTACAATATGTCAATAAGGTTCTGGGTACAAATCCCAAATAAGCTCATAGATTCTGTTATGAACGCTGGTGTAACTCAAATCAGAAACTGGGGGCTCGTCCGGGATTTAAATCTAATTGGCATATGATATGTTAGCACTCCTGAAATGCATTCAGCCAATAAAATTTGAACTAGCATCAGCTAGATATTAGGTATTATTGCTGGGCAACCTTGATGACAACAGAGGGATTTAGTGAAACATGCTTTGAATCATGAAAAGTGAATCACATTTAGAGTCTTTCTGATACTCAGATTTACTGACATTCCAATCCAGGTAAGCAGGCTAGGTTTATGTGTTCCTTATGAAAAATAAGCATTTGTTGTTTGCTTTTACCTCTATGTGGTAGAGAGTAATTTGGGTAAGCCCCCAAATTCTAAAATTACCAGCTAACATGTAGCTCATGCTATCTAAAAATGTATTGGCATGGCATAGAGTTCTACAATATGTCGATAAAGTTCTGGGTTCAAATCCCGGATGAGCCCATGGATTCTGTTTTGAACTCAGGGTTACTCAAATCATAAACTGGAGGCTTGTCCGGGATTTGAAGATGCGCCCTGGGCGGTCCCCCGCGTTGTCCATTCATAAATCCGCCACTGATGGTAGAACTCCTGAAATACCATTGGCCAATAAAGTTTGAGGTAGCATCAGCTACATGTTAGCTAGTATTGCTGGGCAACAGTCTTGATGACCCCAGAGGGATTGCCTGAACCCAGGCAGGCTGGGTTTATTTATTCCTTTTGAAAAGTAAGTCTTGGGTTCAAATCCTGGATGAGCCAATATATTTTGTTATGAATTTTGGTGTAACTCGAATCAGAAACTAGGGGCTTGTTTGGGATTTGAATTTTATTGGCAGATGGTAACACTCCTGAAATGCCATTCAGCCAATAAACTTAGAGCTAGCATCAGCTACGTGTTAGCTAGTATTGCTGGGCAACATTCTTGATGATTCCTGAGGAATTTAGTGAAACATGGTGATTTACAGTCTTACAGTTAATTTGTTTCCTCTCTGGTGGAGACACATCTGGATGAGCCCAAAATTCATTTCGAACTCTCGAGGTACAGTAAGACATAACAGAGGCCATTTGTCCAGGATTTGAGCCCAGGACAAAATATATACACCAATATATCAGAACTCCAGGAGTGCTGTTCAGCCAATCAAATTTGAGCTAGCCAGAGTTGTATAGGCGTCTATGTCTCATTAGAACAGAGAACTTCTAGCAAAATCAAAGGCACTTATCACTTTACAGTCATGCCCTGAAGAGCAGGCAGCACAATTGAGTCATCAAGTTTCACCAATATTACAGGGGATTTTGGGGACATGGATCAGCAGCGTTGCCTTGAGCATTCTTATTCTGGCCTCTTGCACGTGCACACAAATCCACACACGCTCAGAAAGCCTTTGCCCCAGTTTCTCTCTTCGTCCCTTTCAGGCACACCACCATTTTAGCTTTGTTCTATCATTCTGACTTTAATGCTGAAGTGGCCTGTAAGTAGGCGGACACAAGAGGCATACTTCCCCCAGCTTTTCTTTCTGACACTGAGTAGATTAGACTGCATCGAGTATGCTGCCAGAAACCACTGGATAGTCTGGAGCGGCCTCTCTCAGAGAAAGCAGCACTCACTAGGTTTCACTTTGATATGATAGGTGTCCTGTATTAGACCATGCTGCCTATTGATCCAAGCCCTCGGGCTGCCAAATCACAGCGCAGTCGCACAACAGTACAGCTAGCCATTATGTAACTGGTGGACTGCATTGCTGATGTGTCAATGGTAATCTGACAGCTCATTGACTATACTGTAACAACCAATAATTTCCAAACCAACATCTCTGATTCTGAATGAACTGGTCCTGGTTAGGGTGGGCTTATGGGAGAGCTAGATTAATGCAACAAGATTTTGATGGGTAACATGTCACGGGCCATTGGAAAAGAGACAGTAAACACTGCTTATTTGTTGTAAAAAAATTTATTTCAACAAATTATTTTAGCTTTGCAAGAACATCATATTGATGAACAGCTGTATTACAAGCCAATTTTCTAAATCCTTTTAAAGAGGTAAGATTTTCTCATAGTCATTACTGGCAAGGATCAGCCTTACATCGTTTTTGCTTCACAACAGTATCACAGTCTCTCACAGTTAAGTTTTAAAGAGGAAAACAGATGAAGCCCCATCATTTGTCAGTGATAAAAACCAAAGTACACACAAGTATATGGTCAAACTAGCACAGGCTGCTGTGTCCATCTTCTCTCAGAAGCAGCGTGGGCACTGAACTCTCACAGGGGAGAACGGCTGAGTCAGTAGAAAGGGAAAAGAAGACTGTAAGTTCAGTTTGGAGCAACATGCATTCAAAGTACAACCCTTGAGGGAACGCTATAAACCTCTATGCAAAGAGTCACTGATAGAATTGCCATGATTAAAACAAAACAAACCAACATATGAAAATATAACATCTTCAATGGGCAGTTTAGCAGTTTAGTGGGTACGAAAATCTGCAGGTAAAGTGTAAAGTTACAGCAACAGAGTATGACAACATCATATCGCCCAAAAACAAGGTAAGACACTGATAACTGAGCAGTTTAAACATGTTTTATAATGGAGGGCACTTCTTTTTGTCAATATTAAGATGCCAACCTTCTAAGCCAACCTTGGTTTGGGTATTTGGCACAAAAATGAGAATAATAATAGCAATAATTATAATCATAAAAAAAGAACAAGCATTACATACATGAATAAAGTCACAGAAAGAATCAATTCACAAATTTACAACAAATTTTACACAAAACTTTACATTTAGTTCATTTCTATGTGCAAACCATATACTGTATATAAGATTATTCAACACAGGAAGTACTACTGGTCATATATAGTATCCAGTTTAGACGCTTTGCACACGTTTTATAAACAAACTCAGCTTTCATACACTGAGATTCTCAAGATGTGGACAGCCAACAGCAAACATTGCCTGCCTATGATGTCCAGTGCTATTCATTCAGTGTTGCCAGGTGATTCTGGTAGGCTTATGCAGTATTTACTTCTACAGTGAAAGGTATGATTGAAAGTACAAAGAGGTAAATTTCCCTACAATGTCTGGAAGAGCAAATCCAGGGTAAAGAAGGCATACAGCAGTGGCTCATGGCATCGACAAATGCAAGCTCAAGGCGAAGCTTGAGGAGTGCCAATGGATAACGAACAGGCCTGAGGTTGGGTTTCTTGATAGAAATGCTAGGAAAGTTCCAACTACGTTACGCTCGAATCTTCACATATCTAGCACACGCACACTAATTCAATTGTCTTGTCCATACACACTTTTGAGCAAACAAATCTAATACACAGAACCAAACGATTACAAGACTTCCAAGTGCTTCGATTTCTTTCTGTTGATAGGTGCTACATTGACTCGGAAGACAATTATTGTACCAAAAGGCATCCCTGGCATTTCTTTTGTCTTAAAACACGCTCTATATACATTTACTCATGCAAATAGGGGGAAGAAGTGGGCAACTGGCAGTTTTAGTGAAATGGTAAACAATAAAGTAGAAACAAATGGAAAAAGAACGATGCCAAACATCGAAGGAGAGTATTTATAATATACACATAGCAATAATTCAAGTCTTAAAATGGCATATTGTTAATCTAAATGCTAATCAGCAGCATCCATGTTTTAACAAGGTTTGTGCGACTCTCGTAGCTGAATTGAGAACGTGCTGAATTGGATTGGTTTCAAATGATTGTATCTAATAACGAGATTTAAATTGAGGTAGCACATTTCAATTTAAGGAAGTATAATTACAAGGTCACAAAAAAAAGCACTCGCTTCGAATGATATCATTCGATTGAATGGGAGTTATTGGTGGTTATCATCTGATAGATACTGGCCAGTGGGGGAGGTTAATGGTTTATGGTTAATCAGCTATACTAATAGAGAAGACTTTAGATCCAGATCTGTTTTTACATTACTGTGAAGGTTGAGTTTAGGGTTGGGGTAGACGTTAATAAAATACAACTAATGGAAAATTTAATAAATAATATAGATATTTTCTTTGGTTAATCAGCTATACTAATAGAGAATATTCAGATCTGTTTTTACATTGCTGTGATGGTTGGGTTTAGGGTTGATATTATAAACAATTTAGGGTAAATAATATAAATAATTCTTGTTAACTTACGGCCACAGCCATATGTGATCTATTGCTAATTAACCATGTGGATGAATGATAACAGCCTTCTGAGCCTACTACTTGCCCATTTCTATCAGCTAATAACCACTGATAAGGCCCATTCAGTCGAGTAATACATTTAAATCAGCAGAAAAAAAGACCATTCAAAAATTCTCAGTTTCTCAGCATTTATGAATTATAGATATATGTTTGTGTAAAACGTATTTTTTAATTTATTCTGTGAACCTCTGATGATAATTTCTTCCAAATTTAAATTCAAATGTTGTCATTTAGAGCATTCATCTGCATGAAGTGACAAATGCCATGTTTTCAGACATGTTTATATTTGTTATACAGTTGAAATTAAATTAATTCGGTTCATCCCAAATCATTTGGTGTAATAAATATGACTTTCAATCACAACAAATTGAAATATTTCTTATTCTGACCAATTTACATTTTCTGGAAAAAGAAATGCACTAAATGACAATATGTTTATGTACAATTGGAGGAAAATGTTATCAGACCTTTATGGACCCTTTTCACGAGGCGAGTTATGGCGCATTTAATGGTCATCATCATCTTAAATCCTTGAAACATTTTAATATATAGATTTTTTAAAAGTATTTATATATATAAATGTTTTTATGTACTGTATGTATTATATCATCTTTGCATCAAATTACAAAAATGAATTACTGCTTATGCAAGGCATTTCTAATGCAGTGTCTATGGACAAGACAGTAAATTTGACGTGTTTTTTTCTTCTGGTTATTAATCTCACACTATTTTTTTTCCCCTTCCCCTTTTTCTGAAAGTCTTGATAACACTATTATAGATAGACTGGGCGATTTGTCCTACAATCTTAATCTTAATTAATTTAACATTTTAACTCAATTACGATTAATGAAAAATCCTATTATTTATTTAGTGTTTTTGCCCTCATAGTTTACTGACAAGTTTTGTATACAGTACATATGCTCACATATTACAAGAGAGAGATTTTTGAATGTAGGGTGCATTACTTGATATTAAAATAATTGAAGTCAACACACACTATCTACTATCTATGACTATTTATTGAACATCAATGTTGAACAACTGAAAATAAAACACCATTGCCTAAAACGTGGCTCCCTGCACCCACTGTCGTTACTGCTACCAAACAACAAATCACAAAGTTTGCGATACGCGTTGTTGTGACATATAAGTAGGTTTTTTTGACTGGTACGCGGGTATGCGAAGGCTGCGCTGGACTGTTCATGCGCCCTTGGCAGAAGTATAATATCATAATTAATATAATAAGTATAAATCATAACATAATAAGTGTAATTCAGCCTTAACAGAGTGGGGAGCTCCACACACAGTAGGGAAAGTAATTGAAAAAATTGACCTGGAATATAGGTTCTGAATGTTGATTTCGATTACTTTTCAATTTATTGCCCAGCCCTAATTGTGAAAATTATTTGTTGTACTCTCCCATTCACAATTTTATCCATCTATGTTGATTTCGCTACTGAAAAAACACTGAAAATGTAAAAAGGGTCCATAGAATAAAACCAATATTAACATTTTACTCAAACCCATATCTAATAAATCCAGAGAAAGTTTCCATTTTCAATTGTTCTTCAACAGATATATCTAATTTTGAAACAATCCCAATTTCACAAAAAAAAAAAAACAAGAAGTTTTTCAGGCAGCCCTTATCATAACTACAACTGGGTTGATCAGATAATAAAAAGGACAAACAATATTAAACATATTAGCCACCAATTCACTAAAATGCAGATTAGTTAGGAATCATTATGCGAGTGTGGTGTGAAAACACGTTATTTATACCAGGCCACGCAACTGTGTACAGTCTCTTTAAATTCCACTTCACACCATTTCAATTCAATACACTATGGCGTGTGGCCAATTCAAATGCACTAACTTGCTTTTTAGATTAAGAATCGTCTGGTTTCTCATTGCTCTGTCGCCTCACTGAGCCCTATTTATTAGGTGTTGCTTACCTAATCGTTTCCTCTGGGTATAATCAAGCTACAGTGTCAGACAAAAACACTGTCAGCAGAGAGAGCGAATAAAACAGTCAGCGCATCACTGTGTGACAAATGCAAGCAGCGGCTGACCCTAAAATAACACAGCTACGGCACTGAGGTTGTTATACATAAAAGCCATATAGGATCAGACATATTTGAGAACATTTCTGTGATCTTGCGCCTATAAGAAGACACCTTCACGTGTCGTTACTGTTGGAAGGCTTGAACCAAAGCGTATGAAATGCAAAATAGTATACTTTGTCACACGCTGCTGGGCAGAGCAGATTAATGGAGACGCAGCAGCGGTGTGTGAAGGCCCAATGGCTCAGTGAGGCAGATAAGAGCTCCGAGACGGCAGACAAACTCCCCGCATGTCAAGACTGATGAGAGGAGGCTGAGAGGACCAAGGCTGAGAACTTGACAATATGCAGGAAGAAGAATGTGTTTCACAGTGAACTGCATGAGTCTTTTTCGCATAATAATGCATAGTCTCTTAGAGAACATCATGAAGCTACAGTATAGGAAAATGAAGGATCAAAATGGAGGAAGGGGCTCTGGTTTCCTTTTGTGGTACATAATACAAAACCAGACTGTTTGCCTACAGTCCTGAGAGCACTAAAATCTGATCATGGTCAAATTAGGCAGGATGTTTAAAAATAGCACAAGCATTACAGCTGATAAGGGTGCTCACTTTTCTTAAAGGGATAGCTAACCCAAAAATGACCTCATTGTTTACTCTTCTGTATAGATATTTTATATTAATATTTTATTTTAATATTAGATATTTATCAGAAGATATTTCGAATAATGCTGATTGACTTCCATAGTTTGGAATACTTTGAAAGTCAATGGGTTCTTCAAAATATGTTTTTTTTGTGTTCAACAAGTGAAAGGTGAACTGTAAAACCTGAATGTTATTAACTCAAAATTGTTTTAGCACTGAGTTTTGAACTCAGTGTTAAAGGCAATGAGTTAACTAAATACCTCACTATTTCAACTTAAATGGAGTAAGTTCACAGTACTCATATAGATTATTTTTTTTTTTAACTCAAATGGTTTGTAGCAAACGGTTTCTTCAAACAGTTTTAGTTGCCTTAACTTGTTGGGTTTCACAGTTCTCACTTAGTTTGAGATCTTTCATTTATTGTGTTTTACTGTGCTCAAATTGCTTCATTTACTCAAATGGATTAAGTTCGCAGTACTCATTAGGATTAGTTTTTGAACTTAAATGGTTTGTTGCAATTGGTTTCCTCAAATGGTTTGAGTTGCCTTAACTTTGTGTGTTTTACAGTACTCTGTTAGTTTAAGTTCTCTTCATTTATTGGGTTTTACTGTGCTCTAATTGCTTCGTTTAATCAAATGGATTAAGTTCACAGTACTCGTTAAGATTAGTTTCTGAACTTCAATGGTTTGTTGCAATCAGTTTCCTCAAATGGTTTGAGTTATTGGGTTTTACAGTGTGAGTAAACAATGACAGAATTTTCATGGGTCAACTATCCTTTTAAGCAGTGAACAGAATATAAAATGGTAGACACTCAATGTTTTAAGCTACACCTGCACACTTTCCACTTGTCATGCAAAGTTTTGCATAAACTACACATATCTACCTATCAACTTGATTTGCAGGTCTAAAATGTAAATCCAAACAAATCTGAAAAGAGAGAGAGGGTCATAATGATGACTTGGCCTGGACGGCTCCAATCACAGTCATTTTGCACAGTAATAAACAGTGTAGATATTCCTTATTACAAAATTTGAAACAGTTTGCTAGTTGAATCCACAAAATCTTTCTCCTCCTAATTCCGTAACATCATATGCAGCATGAAAAAGCAATCCCAGCAAACAAATTTGTGTTTAATAGACATCTAATAGACATTTAAACGTAGACAGCTTGGCTAAAACAAGGTTAAACTTGGGCTGTCAGTGAAAATCTAATAGACATCTAAGAATATCCCAAAACTAGACTACTCCTCAAATAGACAGATAAGACAGACTTTATATGTGTAGTCATTCATTTCTGTCTATTTGACGACTAGTCTAGTTTTGGCCTATTCTTAAATGCCTATTAGATTTGACAACCCAAGTTTGGAATTGTTTTGGCCAAGACGACTATGTTTAGACATCTTCTAGACATCTTTCAAAAACAAAGAAGGCTTGCTGGGATAAATCATAAAGAAAGAACACACAAAATAAATCTGTGTAAATGTTAGCCATTGCACTGCTTGCACAAAGCAAAATCACAGTTGAATAAAAAAGAATAATAAACACAAATTGTAATCTGTTGTCACCTTCTGCTCTTAAAATGTTTTTCATAGCACAGTACTTAGTACAAACTGCCCTCTGTCCAATTTCATACAAGCAAAAAATACAAACAAAAAAGAGTTTTGGATTTCATTTGTAATTAAAATGGCTGGTTCATGCCCCATGAAAAAATGTCCATAAGTAAATCTTAGTCTGAGCAAATATAAATGAAATCACTTCCACTTCTACATCAACATCATCATCAGTCTCTATTGCACACATCCCACACAAAGACACCAAAGATAAAAGATGCAAGATGTAAAATCAAGTAACAAAAATAGCTGTATCAAAAAAAAAATTCAAAGGCAAAATGAATTTCATGTCATTGGAGAATTTTATAAATAGTTGGCAGCTAATGCGAAGGTAACCCAAAAAAAGCACTTTGAACTGATCACCGAAATCAAAATATACTCTGTCTAGAAAAGTTCTTTGCACAGTGGAAGAGGAGTTTGAAGTTTGCTACAGCTTTTGGGTCTCGAATGCGATGCATGTCACAGTTCTGAGAGTCTCAAAACATTGGATCTTCTTCTGCGCTTGACAGCCAGAGAGTTCTTTGATTGTAGTTGTTTTTCTCCAAATACTTTTGACAACTTTTGTGTTTAGCCAAGTAATAATAATAGTAATAATAATTGAAGCGAATCAGGATATTATTGTGGAATAAAACTTGGCATATCATTAGCAGATTAGAAGAGTTGGTTGCCAACTGTCTGTAAGTGCTATTTATATGAAACCAAAAGACTTAAGAGTGGAGATAATTCAATTAAAATTGACTAAGTTCCGTTATTTCTTTCAGACTGTTTTGTTATTTCTACCATCTCTCTCTATGTCTTCAGTCTCAAACTGCTTTAATATTTAATCTCACTCTCAATCTACTCCATTTTTTTCTTCTCGTATTTCTCTTATTTAATTTTTTCTTCCATGCTCCACCCTTTTAAACTTGTGTTTCCAGGCCACTCAGTTTGGGGGTGAGGATTCGAGGTGTTACCCCAGAGTTGAGGTCCCTCTCGAACTCTAGCAGCTGGCCCATGAAGTTGAGGTTGGGGGACACTATTGGTCTGCGACCCCGCACATACTTATAGGCATCAGTCATGGTCATGAGTGTGTGCTTCATCAGGTAAGCAATGACAATAGTCGCTGAGCGGGACACACCTGCTTGGCAGTGAACAAGAACACCCCGTCCACACTGGTGAGCTTCCTCTGAAATAAAATAGGGAAAATAATGAATTCAAATTAGCTATAAAGACGTTCTGATAACATTATTTTCAAGAACACAAACCGACATTGTGGATGACACATCTTGCCAAGTCTTGGTTCTCTATTCCAAATAAAATGCCCCACTTCCATAGTACCACCTGTACCGGACTAGCTTAAACATGTCCAAAACTCATCCTCGAGGGTGGATGTCCAGAAGAGAGGAGTTTACAACCAACACTAGCAAGCCTAAATCTGCTAATCATGGCCTTCAGACTTACTAAAATCTTCCAGGTACATGTGTTGGAGCTTAAATTTTTTAAAATTCTGCCCCATCAGGAGCAGCATTGGACACCCCTGAACTAAAAATAATTGTTCACTGCCAAAGGCTATTAACAGTTTAAAAAAGAAAAAGACAAGCCTTTTGATACACTTTATCCATACCAAGACATTTTCATGGAGTCTGGGAATATGTCAAATACAAAAGTTGACACGTTCTCTTACCTATAAACTCAAAAACCTCTTCGAAATACTGTCGCAGGTTCTGCTTGCTGTTGTCAGTAGCGGGGAGCCTTTTGTAACGCACCAAGCCTGTGTCCAGATGGTAGAGGGGAAGATGGGTGGTGACATTGACCACAAAACCAATATTAAGATGAAGAAGTAGATCTAGATCCTGTGCATCTCGCTCGTTGCCCAGGAAAAGGAAAGGGAGGATGGGACTAATCACAGCATTCTCCACATCAGGAGTCATCACACTCTCGTCAGACAGTGATGCTGGGAGTGAGGAGGAAAGAGGGAGCGAAAGGTGCACTGGAAAAAACAAACAATAAAATAAAATGTTGCTTAAATTAGTTTGTATAATGAGATAAGAATGTAAAGTTTTTTAGACTCTTTTCAATCGTTTAGAAATGGCACAGGTTAAAATGCTGCTGAAACATAATGTCATAGAGCCCTTATGTAAGGAAATCGAATAGTTCTACTAATTTTAATCCCTCCTCCTTAACTTTCCTGTTTGAAGACTCTTCACTCTCCCCCATAGAATGGCTATTATCCTTTAGTTCTTTCAAAAAAAGAAACAACTTAAAGACCTGCAAAACCTGCAGACTGAACTTAGTTATATAACTACAACATCAAGGGTAATGTAACTCTAGCAATCTTTGGAAGCTAGGCTAACAAGGATTATGCACCCGACAGATTAACTGAACTATAATTTTAATTTGAATACTATCAGTGCATAAAGCCGTACAGCCTAATGGAAGATGAGAAAATGAAATCAAGGTCAGTATATTCATGTGGGATTGGCAATGTGGAGAGACTGTGTTCGTCTTTCTGAGCAGTAAATCGTTAAAACCACATAATATAGATTCCATTCAACCTGCTGTATACTTGTACATTAGTGTCTTTTTACCTCTTCCATTTTCCTCATCTTGTTCCCGGTTGAGTGAGTTCAGGACCAAGTGGAGCGACTGTGTGGAGGGTAAGGTGTGTCCTCCTTCCCGCTCTCTCTGTTTGGGCTTAGGCTTGATAAGTGTGGTAGGAGCAGAGGGTGGGGGCGAGAAGGATGGAGGTGAATCTGGAGAAGGAGAGCGCAGGGATGGGGATTGTGGAAGCACTTCATCATCAAAACCGTTGCCATCCCCCATGCAAGCATCTGCTCCTTTGTTCCATAGCCTCTTGAGGGAATCTCTGCCCTGGTCCCCACTACTCCCTGATCCAATAAAGTCTAAAACTGCCATCTTGCCTTGCTGGAGCCTTCTTCTTCCTGCTTGATCTGTCAACTGGGAACGAGTGAACTCCATAAGATTCCGACAGTCAAGGATTACAGGATTGCCACCATTGCCACTATTCTGGTTGTGGCCCATGCAGGTCCTCCCTGAGCCTGAATTGTGGTGGATAGGTTGGGTTTTCGAACGAGTCATCTTCTTTGCTAGTTCCTCTGGCCAAATTGTGCGTACACTGTAATCGTCATCATCGGGCTGGTATCCGCCCATGGTATGTGCGCCAACATTATGGCCCATGTTAGGAGGATTCCCTCTGTGTGGGTTAAAGGTAACTACAATGGGGTCACTACTGCAGTAGCTACATGTGGAGCTGCCAGTTTGACTTGCTTTGGGATTGCACCCACTGACGCAACTCTGGAGTGCTCGAAGAGGTGCAGATGAGGACAAGGGGGCACAGGGTAAACAACCCCCAACAAGTTTCTTACGGAAAGCAGCAGGACTCTCAAAACCTCCAGCCTCCCCAGAACAGGATGCACAACCTAATGGTCTAAGCAGTCCTGTACGACAATCTGAGACAGTGCTATTGGAAGAGGAGGTGTTGGTGGTGGAAGCAGTAGATAGACACCCTCCTAAAGTCTTCAGGCCCATGGTTCCGCCACCTCCGTTGGTAGCACTTGTTCCTTGGGCGTGGGAAAATGAAGAGGATGGGCTTGTATTATGACTGTGGCAGCCAGCCGTGTGACCTCTACCTCTTCTACAACGCACCAACCTCCAACAGCCACAGGGGTGGGAAAAGTCAATCGTACATGTATGGTCAGGACTGGGGAAGCCTCCCCGGGAAGATGTAGGTGAGAGAGGCAAGGCGTGAAGAATTTGTGGCCGATGTTCTCTAATTCGTGACGAACGGGGCTGACTGATGTGCTGGTAGGAGGAAGGGGCTCTGGAAGGGAGTGGGGGTGGGACAGCAGGGTACTGAGGGTTTAGGATGGCAGCATGAGGTAACGGGGCTGAACTGTGGTGACGGGATAGGCTGTGGGCGTGGGGCAGCTGGTGGCCGGGTCCCAGTTTGGAGTTTTCTTTGTTTCCAACAGATGATGCGTCCCTCTCACTGTGCAATGGGTAACTGGCAGTTGCAGAGCAAGTCTTTGATGACAAGTCTCTCTCTCTTGTTGGTTTGGATTTTGACTGCTGTCTTTGAGCTGGTACAAACTCCAATATTCCTCCAGGAGATACTGTAAGTTGGTTTGTAAGATGGCTACTGTGCGGAGTCCTGTTTTGACTTTGATGATAGTTCTGATGCTTCTCCACTAACTCGGAAGACTTTCCTTTGCATTTTCTTTCACCTTGCCCAGAGTCCAAGTGCAGGGACACCCTTTTAGTTCTGCTCCCCTTGATGCTTTCACTTCGGGTAAGACTGCTGCTGCGACCTTTTTCTATGTAAGATCCCCCTCTTCCACCTTTGTCCAAAGACACTTTAATGTCAATGGTATGTGTGTGCTTGTGAGGTCTGGGACCTAAAGTCACAGTCCCATTGCTGTGACAATGACTAGCATTGTGGTCACTCTCCTCGAAGAGAGCACCTCGTTCCCCTTTATCTCTCTGAACATGGGACGGCTGCCTGCGCTTGCATTCCAGAGACAGGTAGTTGGAACCTGGATAGGAACGGGGTGGTGGGGGTTGGGGTTGTGGTAAGCGGGGTGGGGGCTCGTTGTGAGTGCCTGGGCGGTGTGAGGAAGACTGTGATGTGGTTGGAGGAGAGGCCACACGCAAGGCCAAACTTTTGGGGCGCTGAATAACCACTATGCGCTCGTCAAGAGGGAGCGGAGGCATCTGGGGCTGAGCAAAGCTGTGTGGTTTGGAGAAAACAGAAAAAAGGCAAATGAATATTACAGTGCCCGTTATTTTTGTACTCATATAATTATAGAAATATGCACTTAGAAGTCATATTTATTATGTGAGTACTGCACACACAGTTAATTTTAGTCACAGCACACAGAATTACACAAACAATTGTGATGAGTTCGACACAGAAGGAAATCTTCTGTTTTCAGTCATTCACAACCTTTCTTAATTAAACACTGTGAAACAATAAAGAACGGCACACAGGGTACACCACAGACTTGTCAAATCCTAATATAACAGAAAAACCTTCTGACCCATTACCCTTTTAAGATCTGTCAAACGCATAAAGTAGGCCATTCATTATGACCACACATGCAAACCATGTGAAGAATAGTATAATTTAGGGGACAGCTTTGTAACGATGTTGCATCAGGGAAACACTGACTTAATTTGATATGGAATTCTGTAGTTTGTATTATTACCATTGTCTTGACGTGAATTTAAATAGTTTATCTTGAAAACATGCTAAAGGCAAACATGTAATGGAATGTAAATGGGTTATTGTTATAATTTGTCTAATAATAGATACATTCTGGTGCTCTAATAACCCCTCTGCAGAGCAGTTCAGCTCATTATTCTAAATAATGACCATTTGAAACATTACCGTTCAACATTATGGAATGTCAATGGAAAGTCCATGAGAATGTTAAAGTAATATATCAGCTATTAATGAACATTTAGTCATCATTTACTCCTCTCCAAACCCATAAACCTTTCTTTCCTCAATGAAACAGAAGAGGTCTTTTCTGAGCAACTGCAATAAATGGAGTTTTAATAATGATGGAATTACATGAATTTGACATGAAATATAAAGTGAAAGTCATATTAACCACTCTAATAAGTGTCCTTTATAAGTGTGTGAAAAACAGCCTTGACTTTTCTCAGTGTGTATTCTATGGAAGAAAGAAAGCAATTTAAGTTTGGAATGGCTGGAGAATGAATGACCAGCGTTTTCAATTTTATTCCTTTAGGAATAAGTACCAACGGGTAAAATCAAAAAGATAGAACAAAGGAAAATGTGTATGTAAAAGAAAAACTAAGCAGCACAGAGAGAACGGTTACATGATGTGACATGGCTGGATCATCCATTGACCTCATGTATGAGGGAGGCATGCACAACAGTACTTCAGACATATACCCCACCACAACACACCCACACACACACACACAGACCCCAGGACAGAGCCAGCACACCATGCTCTTATTTCCACATGCATACATTCACGCACAGAGCCTGATGATGGTATCCTCATCCTCTTTGCTTTTTTCAGTCTTGCCTTTTGTAGCCTGTGGTGGTGAAGGGGGTGGGTGGTTACATTGACCCAGATTTGTCATATTGCAAGTCAACATCACTCCAATCACTTTAAATCACATGAAACACCTTATCAGCAGTATTTCACACACAGACCCCATGTGTAATGTTTTTTTTAAGCGAATCACGTTTGAGCAGAAACAGCATCACATGCTTGAGCGTCAGCCTCTGTCAGAGATGTACAGCATCAGCATTGATGAGCTCAGGTATCGGCTGAGTAACGCTACTACAAACAATGATTAGGTTTCACTGATATCACCACAAAGAACAGTGTGTACGTGCTTGTACAAATACAGCAATGTTGCAACAAAATGATAGCTGATGAATGAAAACAAACATGATCTGATTTGGTGTGTGATATTACAGAAAGACAGTCGTGGCTAAATGCGTCCCTTCCATTTTTATAACCTCTTCGGGATTGATGTAAACAGAGAAATGCAGAGATACTTTCATTTTTGGCAAAGCATAGATGTTTATAAATGAATAAGTTAATTTTTCTAGTTGGTATAAGGGTAGGTAAATTACTCTTCTTCAAGGCATCCGAGCTCTGACTCTTTTCTTCTTCAGTAGAACGAAAGAGGATTTTTAGTATATACATCACCTGCCAAAAGTCGTGTCGGCTATCCAAGTTTTAGAAACAACAAAAAATAACTTGACTTCTAGATGATCATTTGGTATAAGAAGTGGCTTATATGAAAGGCAAATGCCTCTAGATTATGCTGATTTTAATAAAATAAAATATGATCATGCCTTAACTTTTAATGATTTAATTAGGACAGTAAGGTCTGACTTTGCTTAGACAAAAGTCTTGTCACTTAACAGAAATAATGTACAGTATAGAATATAAAGTAGTGGTGCAGTGGACAAAGAATTCATATTGTGTTTAATTCCCATAAGCATGGAGGACTGCATCCATACATATCTGCAATGACTCAAATAACTTATTAATAAAGTCATCTGGAATGGCAAAGACAGCGTTCTTGCAAGACTCCCGGAGTTTATCAAGATCCTTTGGATACTTCATATGACCCTAGACATGCTCAATAATGTTCGTGTCTGATGACTGGGCTGGCCAATCCTGGAGCACCTTGAACTTCTTTGCTTTCAGGAACGTTGATGTGGAGGCTGAAGTATAAGGAGTGCTATGCTACTGAAGCTATGCCCTCTCCTGTGGTTTGTAATGTAATGGGCAGCACAAATGTTTTGTCTAACTCAGGCTGTTAATGTTGCCATCCACTCCGCAGACCTCTCGCAAGCCCCCATACTGAATGTAACCCCAAACCCTAATTTTTCCTTCACCAAACTTGACTGATTTCTGTGAGAATCTTGGGTCTATGCAGGTTCCAGCAGGTCTTCTGCAGTGTTTGTGAAGATTGAGAAGCAGCTCAACAGATGATTCATTGGAAAAATCTACCTTCTGCCACTTTTCCAAATAATCAACTAGAAGTCAAGTTATTATTTGTTGTTCTTACAACTGGGATTGACGAAAATACTTTTTTCAAGCAGTGTATTATGCAAGTAAAACACGATCAGCACTTTGAAATGAAAAGAAAAAACAAAACAAATGCCTGCTGATACATTGAGGTCTTATAAAGTGAAAATGATCATTATATTCAATAAACTGAACCTTATTAACAACATTATTGCCTTTAACCCACTTACAAGCAGTCCTGAGGATGTTTATGACAGTCTGAGGCACAAGCTTCATGTTGCATGATGGCATAAGCCCATTTGAAATGCTGGGAATCTGTGAAGCGTCAGTCTTCCTGAATGTAATCATACATGCATAGGCTGCAGCATCCCAGATAAAGACAAGCATACAAGTTTTCTTCTTCTTATGCTAATATCATCAGTTCACAAACTGTCATAAGCATGCTCAAGATCAAGAGCTGAGGCTGTGGATTATAAGTAGTTATGTTATAATGTTATGTCAGTTGCGTGCATTGATCGATCGTTTTGCTGAACAATTCACCAAGGAGTGACAGGTTTTTATTTAGTCAGTAAATATGTATAGTTTTGACACTCAATGTGCCAGTAGCCATTGATTTGAATTTCATGAACTGCCAAAGGATGACGGTTTTTGCTAAAAATCTACTGAAGAAAAACCCAACTGCATCTCAGATTGCCTAAAGATTGTCTAAAGGTGAGTAAATTAACACAACATTTTCCTTTCTGGCTTTACTGTCCATTTTAGAGCTATATTAGGACAAATTAAAAATGACAATATGTCACATGAGTTCACTTGAATTAGTCAACTAGAATGACCTCACCCCCAAATCAATGTGTAATTACAATTTTAGTGTTTTGTCAAATACTGATTGCTAATTTGGCCTATTTGAACGTGTAAGCGAGCTTCATACAACAAAGTGCCAAAAAGCCCACATAAGCTATTAACGATAAAATTAGCATCCCAAATCTGCACACACATTCACGTGGATCATTTCCAGGCATGTTTTACATTGAAGTCTGCGACAGAAGCATCTAGGCCCGCTAACTATTCGCCTAATGAAATGGTTGCTCTTTTTAATCCATTATGAATTGTGGAAAGAGGTAAACATGATAAGGAGGTGAAATCCAGCGGAATGATTTCGCGCATCGTCACACGTCATTACGTTCATTGTCCCTAAATTTACAAATTCTCTCAGTTGAAAGCAGAATCACAGCAGTCATCACGAGCCTTTGTTTCTCCAAGCAAAACTTCCCTTTTTACGACGTCTAAAAATACGCTTATTTAGACGGTTCACAAAAATAAGCATTACTAATAGAGTAATGTTATCCAAGCCTAACTACTCACTGAAATAGAAAACAAGAGCGTCAGCCACTTAATTGCAACTGTATTGACTGTCACTTTGTTAGGCCATACTGATGCTGTCGCGCAATTTCGGATACGCTTTTAACGTAAGTCAGTATATTTCCACATCTGGGCTCAACTTAACATTTAAATTAGCATTGCCAAGAGAAATCATGCTAATTATATCATTAATGCAGCTGCGTTACAATTATAACAATTTGCTAAGCATTTTGGTGCGTTATTTGCTAGCAAGATTTACGATTTTATGCTTTTTTAATTATAATTCATAATTAATAAAAACAATAGATGCATATATTTCCCCCTAAACGACATTTTGTTGAAGACAACAACAGATAGACACAAAATAAGTAGCCATTAAGCATTCTTTATAACTAGGAAACACAAAGCATATAAGGCCTCAAAAATAAAATAAAAAAATAAATGACTTACGTTATAATCTGTACGTCCGCTGTATCGTCATTATTTGTGATAAATTAGGTCCTTGTGTTTCTCAATTCCGCTCCAGCGCCGCGAGACATTTACATAGCTGCAGTTATCTATGGTCTGCCTTAATGTGCGGGTTGCGCTTTAAAAATCCAGCGATGACCATCAGCGTATAACATGCAGACAGTTTACCCTCATAATGATCAAAGCGCTTGTAATGATCAGTTTGCACAGTTAATACAAAAACAATGTGTACGACAGCGCAATGCAACGTGCGCTTCTGTGTACTGTGCGTGTGCATGAGACAGCGCGCTGTGTGGGGGACGGGGGCGGGGTTTCTGTGTAGATGACATCATTCTAGGCCAATGACAAACTAAATGTGACGAAATGCTGCCCGATTAACGTAGCTGCTTTAAAATATTTAATTAATTAAATAAAATTAGCCACATAACCATGAAAAAAAGTATTAAAAAAATGAATAGACCCTTTATTTGTATGTTCCTCAAAATTATTCTTAAAAGCATGTTTGAAAATAAATAATAAATAAATAAATTATTTTAAAATAATATTTTATTGTTATTATTAATAATAATAATATCATTATTAACAATATTGAAATTATCTAGAATAATAATATTCAGACGGTCCATTAATAAAAATAATAATACAATACTTCTTATTACTGTCATTAAAATTATAATATTTATTATTGTTTATCATTGTTGTTGTTGTTATTTTTTAACATAATAACAAAACATAACAATAATAATGTTGTTTTAAATTATTAACATATAAATATTAATCATCATTTTCATTAAGACAATAAATTGATATATAAATAATAATAATTATTTATTATTATTATACTATTAATAACATAATAATAACATTTATTAATAATTAATAATAAGAAGGAGAAGGATATGTATAGCAATAAGAAAAAAAAATAATGGAGATAGTAAAGTAGCCTATTTATTTGGATTATTATTCATTCATTCATTTTCTTGTCGGCTCAGTCCCTTTATTAATCCGGGGTCGCCACAGCGGAATGAACCGCCAACTTATCCAGCACGTTTTTTTTTTTTTTTACGCAGCAGATGCCATTCCAGCCGCAACCCATCTCTGGGAAACATACACACACACACACATACACACACACTCATACATCACTCATACACTACCGACCCAACCAAGGCTTAAACCAGCGACCTTCTAGCTGTGAGGCGACTGTGCTACCCATTGCGCCACCGTGTTGCTCCATATTATATTATATTATATTATATTATATTATATTATATTATATTATATTATATTATATTATATTATATTATCCTATTATTATAATATTTTGATCTTTTTTAAAAAAAATTATTTGGGCTTGCTTTTAAAGTAAGAATAACAAGGTGTCTTGCCACTAGGGTTTGTAGGGAATTACAGAGAGCCTCCAAAGACTGTGTAGCATCTTAAAACATTAACCTGGCCTTGTCCAAATCGGTTCCTCAATGGAAAAAACACTAAGGAATATTTTCTTTTGCTTTCCATCTTAGTTTATTCCCTCAAACGCCTAGAGATGGCAGCAAAGTATTCAGTCCTTCATTCACTGTCTAATAAAAAGGAATGATTAGATACTGTGATCTTGAATGGCATAGAGCTGAGCTACTAAACATAATATACAGAAAATGTGTATATACTGTATCTAGATTAGTACAACTGTTTCATCTAGATTCCACTCTAGCAACAGTACATCCAAGTCAGTCAGACTTCGGAACAGCTTCAATCTCCAGACACTGCAGGTAAGATTGCTAAACTGCATATACTGCAGTCACCTTTAGTAAACACTCTGACCGTATAGGCTGAATGATCATTACAGACTGATTCATTTGCCTGCATTTAGCATGAATAATGACACATTCCTCTGGAGATCTGAGAAACGGTGCAATTTACCCACAATTGTGCATTTTGTTTGCAATAACTGTGGATTTGACTTTACTGAATAGGACAACACATTGAAGTGGATGTTTTCACCTGCTAGAGTTGTTCATTTTAGAGTAAATTGCTTAGGCAGTGTTCTTATTTCCTAATAGCCACATAAATCCACACTCTATCTGTCAAATGTGAATGATGTGCATCTTTTGGAGTAATCAGGTGTTCCCCCCTTTTTTCTCATTTTACATTCCACTGGCTCATATGACAGTAGGATTAAATGCTGCAGTGGCTGGAGAATCACAAAACTGCAAACAGAATGCACAGAATCTATTCACAGGTGTATTTGTCATTCATGATTTTTTTACAGTGGGGAAAATAAGTATTGAACATGTTATGTATTTTCATGGGAATACTATTTCTAAAGGAGCTGTTGACATGAAATTGAACCATATTTAGGTAAAAACCCAAACAGCACAAACATAAAAAAACAAATTAATAAAAACAAAAAGTTTTTTTTCCTTGTTTGTGTTTTGGATCATTATCTTGCTGAAATGCCCATCCTGGTTTCATCCTGGTAATGTAGATGTTTGACTGATGCAGCTAATACTAATTTACAATGATGAAGGGCAGAGGGTTGCTGAAGAACTACTGAGAAATTTCAGCTGCTGTCTGGGCTTTCGCTGTCTTTCTGCAGCTCCCTTTCTTTATGTGTTCAATACTTTTTCCCTGAGTCATTTCATTTTATTATGCATAACTTAATTAGTAAACAAATTGTATTTGTTTTCTTTGCATATGTATTTCTTTGGTTGTTACCAACATTCGTGGAAAATTTCAAGTCAAGTTATCTGAGAAAAATGGTGACGTGTTCCATACCCTTTTCCCTGCTGTATTTAGTGTTCTAAACATGATGACCGCAAAGGAGGAACGCATTTCATGGAGAATAAAAATGCTTAAATAGCACTGATCTGACTCATCTGATCCCATGTAAAAGTTAATAACTGACTTAAATCTGAGAAACAAAAAAGTATGTTGCACTGCAAAAGAAAAGTGCAGTGCATAAACAGTTCTTTCATTTAATGTGTTATATTGGACATTCAGCATTGTTGTACGTATTAAGCTTCTAATATTTCAACTGAAAAAGTACCATAATTTCATTACTATATTCAGAGATTAATATTCACCCTCTGAAAGTGTAAATGAAAGAAGGTAACTATTTATAGTGTTGTGGAAGTAAATTAATGAAAGAATTTGTAACAATGAAATGGGACCTTTATTCTGCATGATTGTTCAGTATTAGGCAGTAAACGTTTTCATTGAAGGGTGGCACGGGGACTCAGTGGTTAGCATGTTTGCATGTTCTCCCCATGTGTTCACGTGGGGTTCCTTCAGGTGCTCCGGTTTCCACACAGCGCAAAGACATGCGCTATAGGTGAATTCAATAAACTAAATTGGCTGTAGTGTATGAGTGTGTGAGTGAATGCCAGAGTGTATGAGTGTTTTACAGTACTGGATTGCGGCTGGAAGGGCATCCGTTGCGTAAAACATATATGGTGGAATTGTTGGCGGTTCATTCCGGTGTGGCGACACAGATTTTCATGATTTAATAACATCAGTAATCAATATTGACCCTCCTCTCCAAAATATTATATCTGTCTAAAAATGATAATCAGACAATTTATGGTACTATATTGGCTACAAAATTTCAGTGACTGAAATTTAACAGAATTTCCAAAATTCCATATTGCAACATAATTAAAGAACATAATTTTGTGTGCACATAAAACAAAAGAAAAACCTTATTCCACAGTTTCTTTTTCTTAGGGTCAGTATCGAGTTCGCAATCACCAAAGCGTTTGGCTGAGCCTCTGATGTATTTCTTGGATGCACCTGTGCTTTTTTTCATTCAGCAGTATACATGATGCCATTGTGCACCTGAATGTGCAGAACATATTAACAATGAGGAGAAGAAACTGTTGAATAAACTTATTTATTTATTTGTATTTTTTCGGGAAAGTTGTCTTGGGATGATGAGGGAGTTTTCAGATTTCACTTGAAATATCTTAATTTGTATTCTGAAGATGTATTAAGGCATTTAAAACAACATGAATGTGAGAAATTTATAACAGAATTTATATTTTGGATGTACTATCGATTTAAGAAGCTCAAACACACATTAGGTTTCAGTAATTTGTGGGGATTTTCCAAAGACTTCTGTTGTTTCTATAATGAACAAACATTATTTTCTATCATTCCACTCAAACCTAGACCTACAGTATACAGAAAACCTGTATGTTTCTTTAAACGTACTGTTAATTCTTTTAGTATGTGTAATATTTTCCTTATTGGGCAACACTGGCTGGTTTTAACTGTATCAGTGAGGGCTCTGTAGAGATTTCCACTTCTTTTAAAATGAGGTTATCAGGTTAATTAAAGTATGCAAAGCACTAGATTAAAATGAATCACCACTTTATGTCTATTTTAAGTCTTTAAATAGCGAGGATGGGTAAAATGCCCTTTCTAGTTGGTTGCCAAGATATTTAAGATTGTAGTTCTCATAAGAATAACCAATGAATAACCTGTTACAGACGCACACACTCTTATTTTTTAACATTTGATGTAAGTGGTATCCTAAAACTTGATAATAATAAAATTCTTATTTTAAATGTCAAACAAACAAGACTTTAATAGTAAAAGTGCGTGTGAATGAGAGACTTTTATTTTAAAGCTCTGAGTCTGAGGCAGAGGAAGTCGCTCCTCAGCCTATTCTGGTTTCACATTTCTCTTGAACGCAAACAACACTGGCGTCCGGGCGCTGCTGCTGCTGCGGTACCAGTCGTGACCGCCCGACTGCTCGGCTTTTCACGGCTCACAGATGTAATTCGTTGCCTATCACCGACTGGAACCGACCAATTTACAGCCATTCACAGCTTGGCTACGGTTAGGACATATTCTTACCATCACACTGTCTAAATATCAGCGACTTTTTCCGAAGTCACCCGACCAGCTAGCGCGCGTTAGCAGGTTAGACGTGATTTTTTAGAGGCGCAGAAAGCTAGTATACGAGCATCTCTCATGGTTTTGGGCTTGGATTATTTAGTTTGTTTCCTCGAGACGACATCGGGAGTTTGATCTGCTTTAAAAACAGACATGTTGACACCTGTGTGACGGACATTACTGCGAGTAACGCCGATCTGAACGCTGCTGAGTTGGCTAACTTAAAGGAGCAGCTCGATAACTTGCCCTGAAGTTTTCTCGTGTGTGTGCTAAGCAGGACTCTTCATATGTGTTTCCTGGGTCTTCGGAAGAAGAAAACAGGAGTTAACTTTTGAGATTACAGATGCACATCTATATAAAGCCGAACATTAGTAGTTACGGCTGAATTA